TCAGTCATCTTCCAAACGGCAAGAGAAAAACAGCTTCGCATCAGTTAGAAGGAAAATTGTGCGAGCTGTGCGTACATACTTTGGAAGATGACTGATAATCTTTTTTTTCAGAAGAGCAATCCTGACGCATACCTTAACATTGACAGATCCGCGTTCTTCGATGATGAATCCTGGGTAATTCGTTCGTATTTTATGAGCAATGTTCTCAGTCATCTGCAAGAATAACTTTGCTTTGCGATTACATCACCATGCAAATGGAAAAGGAGGAGTTGTGAATGATACTCTCCCGAGTAAAGCAACAATTCGCACTTAAATGAGGTCATTCAAAACGAAGGAAACTTGTGTGAAATTTGGCTCTTTCCTTCTGACCATGAATATGCACACCGATCTCGCTATACAAAAGCGATAGGGCATTGAAGGAACGGTCCGCGATGACCTATGAAAATGCAAGAGGTTATGTGGGAAGGTAGTGCGGTCCGGAGTGGACAACCCTGTGCCAGTTTCGCGGCGGAAAGTTGTACGGTAAAGGAATTAAGGCGCAAAGTTGCTTCAGTGGTACATCCCTTTCTCCACCTCCAGACTCCGCCATGACACTTGCCCGGGACCATTACTTTTGGCTGAAAGGCCTCCAAAGTCGGCCTTCCAGCCAAAAGTAATGCTCCCGGGCAAGTATCATGGAGTGGATGCATTCAATGTCTCTTGTAGAGTCATAGGGTTCATTACTGGGAATCAGCCGACGGGAATCGTCCCAGCGCGCGGTCTTTTCGGTCTTTTACCTCTACAGTTGTTTGAGGCTAGAGGAGGCCTGACGAATGCGTTTCCAACGTTCCCTTGGCATTTTCTCTTCATAGACGGTTCACTTGGCGAATTTTCTTCCACATTTCTGCAACATCACCTAGGCTTTTTATCGCGGACCGTGCCTTTAAGTTTTAAGAAGGACTCACTCACCTGGATTTTATTCGGTTCACCTAAACTTGCCATTCGACACGCCATGTTTACGGTGTCACCGAAAATGCAAAATCTGAAACCAGGAATAAGATTCCGAAAGCTTACATTCCATCGAAACAGGCCTTTTTTACTTCGGTTGAGAGCTATAGACGTGGTTACGTGCTTTTCATAATGAAGAACTCCCATCAAATTTGTACATGTTTGCTTAGGGGCTAGAGCACACCATCCTGAGCGTCAAAAGTGCTGAGAGACCCCATCTCTCATCCTTCTTCAGAACATCCGTTGAGCAAACGCGAGGAGAATGGCGGGCATACTGTCCATTGCAAGGTACTGTGCTTCCAATGGATTGAGAGAATAGGTCAAAAATAACCTATACCATTTTCATTTTAGGCGCAGCACATTTCAAATCAAATTCGACCTTTTGGAAAAATCCAGTACTCTGTAGGTCTGCCTGCACATAGAGTCCTACGGCAGAACTTCGTTAGACGACGGCCTAGTTGAGGACGAACTGTACACTTACCCCCGAACACGGTCGTTCCCCTGTGCGAGGTGTGGGTCTGCAACTGCAGTAGCCTATTAATTTCCCCACTCAAAAGTGCACGTGAACGGCCTGGAGGGTAGTGATACCCAGGTGATGCCTGTGTATTCTGCCCGCGCTGCTCAAGACCAGCCGCACGTCTTTCAATAGTGAAACGCTACACTTGCCTGCGATTTCCCAGTTTTGGTCGTTTTCTACCGCTGACTACAGTTAGATGCGAAAAATTGGTAGCGACGCAAGTGCTGCACAATGGGTGTAATTAGAGCGTAGCATGGAGGGGCACCCAGGTCTGGTCTGTCAACACTCTCCAGCCGCGTTCCTGTGCACTTTGTGCCTGCACTTTCCTGCGCGCTATTGCAGTTGCAGTCCAATTCACCTGCCCATGGGAAGCAACAGGATCCACGTAGGTAATGTAGCCTACAGTTTGTCTTGCAAGATCATATCCTAGATCTTTGCCAGTGCTGCGTAGGATTTGTCATGCACGTTGCGGTCAACTTGAAGAAACGTTCGTAATTATTGAACAGAGCGTCACAGGAGTGATTCACTGACTAGCGTTTTTTCAGTAACACCGAAAGCACCGCCCATTTCTAGTACGTCCCGTCCACTTCGGGTGCGTCTCCACCAACTGATCGGTCAACCCTTTGCTGGCATTATTCCACTTTTCCCCGGACTGCTCCTGAGCTGAATTATAAATTTTTCAGTGGTATCGCTAAATTTCGGCGCAATCCCTCCTTTGTGGGCGCGGTTTACTATGGGTCACGGGTGCTGTTTCAAATCTTGTCCCATCCCCACCTTGACCCCACCTCTCCAAGTTGTTCTTCTAGTAGAACCGGATTTCTGACAGACAAACAAACGTGCAAGCAAACAAATAAACAAATTAATTAACAAACAAACAGACGAAGCAAATTATAGATAGCGAGTGATAATAACTTTCGGAGCGCGAACTGAGCATTAAACAGCAGTCATTAAGACATCATAATATGCCTATTCTGCGTTTCCGCTTCTTTTGTTTGTACGCTCAACCTCTAGTTCCTTTACGCAGCTCCGCTAGCTCAGAAGTACGATAGTAATGAACTGGCGCTTGTGCATCAAAAGCACCTGTTCCGGATACGCCCGTCTAGCGAGTAGCTTCGAAAAAGCCGCTCGCTAGCTACTTGGATGCACCAAGTAGAATAACCCGAGTGCTGATTTGTTACTTGCGATCCCTGGGTCACACTGAGCCTTCAAACAACTTCCTTATATCCCTTATATCTGCTCCAGTAGATGTCCGGACAAAGCCTTCTGCCTTCAAAATGTTTCAGCATTTGTCATGATCTCTACTCAGTTGTTCTCAGAGCAATTCGGCCGGTTCATCAATTTTAATAACTTACCTTGGAGCAGTACTTCCTAGAATTCCAGAAGCAACAGATCCAGAATGAATTCCAAGCTTGACACTCAATTTGAACTTGGATGCATGTTCGATTTCGTAGCTCTCCACGAACTGAAGTTACAATGCTTATGGGTGGTTCAATGATGAAAATGAGCTTCATCGTTTCATTAGATTATCCTATGAATTTTGGAGCACCTGGAGTATTTCAGAAAAGTATTCTTCCTAGTTCTCCTTTTAATATATTCTCTTACCCAGAATTGCATACAGCCCCAATATCTATATCATATAGCAGAGGATGAGGTTGCGCAATGCTTTTACTATAAAAGTCCCGAGAATGGTGGTTGAAGGACAATTGGATGTCGGCTTAGATCTTGTTGGTCAGCGTATAACTCCTTTCTAAGGTAAACTAGAGAATGGGAGGG